ATCCATAATAAAAGTGAATTGTAATCATCGTGCGCGAGAATAATTTTCTTCCTAAAAACCAAAGTCGGTTCCCTCATATTTATTGCTCATCCGCACTTAAAATGGACACTTCGTGTATAAGGATTCACATGTTTTCACACTAATAGTATTTGACCTTTGGTACTCTTCACTGAGTAGTTTTCTAGAATTTTTTCTCTTTGAAATACTCATAGATGTGTATGTATAAGAATTCCTAAAAATGTAATGTTCAGTTTATGTACTCGTTTTTCTGTTTGTTTTTAAATGCTTACTTCTTGAAAAAGGAGAAGATGGTCAGCGATGTTCCAAGCGATGACAAATGACAATTAATTGCCGGGGTGGGTTGTGCTTGACATGTCAATATTGCTTTAGCTGTAGATTGTTTAAGGGTGGCATTACCACTTGCGAAGCGAATGAATTTGGCGACGCGAATGGTTTGGCGAACGCGAATTAAGAGGCAGGGAAGGCATTAAGTATTCGCGATGCAAAGAACTTGTACTAGCTGGTACAAGCGAACACTCTTAATTCATTCGCTCCGCCAAATTCATTCGCTTCACAAGTGATAATGCCACCCTAATGCCGTCGAGGTAGCATTAGTTGCAGTTAAAGTATGTACATATGAACATCATCCATAGGAATTTGGCTGCATGTTCATTTTTTAGAAGTTCTGCTAACGTAAATACATACATATATATGTATGTATGTATCTGGAATAGAATAGTTGCGCAGCATATAAATATTTCTAGAATATAAAAGTGTATAAGTTCGTTCATACCTACATACACACTTACACGCAGAAGGACATAATGTATACATGAGCAAATCTTACGAGTTGTTTTTTTAGTGTCACTTTCTTCTCTCGCCAGAAAAAAAAAAACGCTAAAGCATTCTTATTACTTGTATTTATTTCAATCAATCAAGTATTTGAACAATTTTAGCCTTAAAACATGTATTTAGGCGAAAAAAGTACAGAAATTACAAATTTTTTCATTGTAGCTCGAAAAAATCATAATTGTTTTTTTTTGTAAATAACTTTGGGAAGTTTTCAAATAGAATGTTCATATTAGAGGCAATGGACGTTGGCATCAAATACAACATATCTGTGAAGTTTCACGAGTGTGCCACCAAATTAAAAAATAAAATGGCAGCATGCAGAATATCTGTCGCAGCTATTTTGTAATTTTTGAAACTTTACGTTTTTTTTTTTAATTGTAAATATTAAATACGTTACAACTACGAGTATATGAGCATGAGTTGTTGTTTTACTTTTTTTAGTTTATCTTTTTTAAGTTTTCATTTAAATTAAATTTCGCGATGGAATCTTGCTCTTTACGCAAAACAGAAGATAATGCATTATCCAAGATAAGTGTGCCACCACTTTCGACCAAAAACATGTTTTTGAGGAAAAATGGAACAACTCGTGAGATTTGCTCACATATGCCTGCTGAAGTGGTTTATACTCCCACTCATAAAGCTCAGAGGCTTTGTTTCGTGGTCGGCTTTTTTTGTATCCAAAAAATCGACCCTCATTAATATCTACACGAGTCGATTTTGATTCCACTTCACTTGCTCGCAGTTAAACTTAGATTCAGATTAATAATTCTAAATATACATATTTTCGTACCTTCAACAGGATATCGGCTTCCAGCCTGAGGTACAACAAAATCAAAGCAACGCATTGGAAATGCGCTCATCTCAAAATATAGACGAATGTCATGGCCGTTTACAATCGAACGCCAATACAAATGGTTTGGATTTATGTACGCATTCCCAACAATTCCTGCCACAGTCGAGTGATGGCTCTTTGTCGCCACAAAGAAATCAATCATTCATTGCTGCCGTCATTAGTGCCATACGTAATGCAACAACACCCTCTAGTAAAAAATTGTTGACGCGGAATGGAAAACGTATTAGTAGTATTGATAACGCAGTTGGTGGTGGTGGTGGTGGTGGTGGTGGTGGTGGTGGTGGAGATCCGCATCCACAGGGTACAAACAAAAGTAACAACAATGCCAATTACAACAACTATAATGGCGATACACAAAATGGAGCCGGTGGTGAGTGTACAAGAACGATTGAAAATAAATATATTAAAATTTTTTTTTTTTAAATAAAATTAAATAACTCATTCGACCACGCAGATGACTCAGATTCCACTGAAATGCTCGATTCGGAAACAGAACCCTGTCTAATGATGGATAATGTGCTCGAAGATGTGACAATGCCCGACTCTCATTCACATAATATGGTCTCATCATGTAATGGCATTATTTCCCAATTGGAAATACCAACGGAGCTTGTTAATCCTGCTTCTGGCGATGAGTCCTTACATAACTTATCGCAGGCTATAGTTAATCGACAACAGATGGAATTACAGATCAGCGCTATGCAAAGTGTACAAAAGGCCGCATTGCAGTTGAAGTGAGTTAGATTATAGATACATATAAGCAAAGGGCTATGCGGATTTAATTACGCTACATTCCGCACTTTTACGTTTGCTTTCCAGTCAATGTGAGCTTGAAAATTCTGATGAAGCGAGCTGTCACGATTCAGTGGCTGAAATGCCTTCTCTAATGGAGTACTGCACAGCACAAGCCGTGGTTGATCAGGTGATAGAAGTCGATAGTTTGGTGACTAAGTTGCTGAAAGTCCTGCGGCTCATTCAGATGGATAACGACAGTTGCATACAGCAACTTATTGTTGATAAGTGAGTACATATGTACATATATTGCACAGTGGTCCAAAACGGGAATTTGCTGTTCAAAATAGTCCGGAGCCTTAATTTTTCAATAGATTTGATAAAGTTTTTTTAAATGAAAGCTAAAGGATTTTATAAGATACCTGTTGAGCCCGATTTAAAGTTATTTGTTTGTTTATATCATTATATAAAATTTTTGAGTGCAGAAGAAGTGCAGAGAAATTTTGAAGAAAATCGAGTTGAAAACAATTGTAGGGTTACCCACAAATTCAAAGAAATTTCACACGAAAAATTTTAACATTAATATTTTTTTGTTAAATTTTTAGAAGCAAATTAAATTTTAAAATCATAATGTGTATGTTTCCAGTGGCTAAGAATTCGCACACTTTATGTATATGGAAGAAAATGCTTAACAGAGTCAGCAAAAACTGCTACCTAAATTTTTTTGAAAAAATTTAAAATTTTGGTGAATTTTTTTTTTAATTTATACTTTTACATTTGCAACTTTTTTATTAGCTTTCAGTAAAAAAAAAAAATTTAAGCAAAAAACAAAACCGAATTCAATCGCCACATAAAAATTTAAGATTGTTGTTAATATCTTCAAGATCCAATGATCGTATCTAAACCAAATTAGTATGGGACCATCTTTGAGGTAACACCTTTCCTTTAAAAAATTATAGAAATCGGTTAACGTGGTCGAAAGTTATGCGGTAACATACATAAAAAAATATTCCGGCGAATTGATAACCTTCTCCTTTTTTTGAAGTCGGTTAATAATGTTTCAAATCGGTTGAAAAATGAAGGCTCTGCAGTATTTTAAACAGTAAATTCCAGTTTTGGCCTACTGTGCATTGTGGGACACGTGTATTAAAAAAAACCCGTATTTTTATAACGGAAATTTATTTTGTTTCTCTAGGAATAAGTTACAAGAAAATAAAGAGGATATGTTGGAGAAACTAAAAGATCTGCAGGATGTCAACATCAAGCTGCAGGACGAGCTTATGGATGCCACACAGGAATTACTGTTGAAAAATAACGATTTGTCGAACACTAAAGCAGAAATGCAGCGACATCGCAACGAAATCGATGTAAGATTTTAAAGAAAAGTTAAAGTTCACTATCATCGATTGATAAATAATGATTTTTTTTTGTTTTTGCATTAGAATTGAGTTACTTTTGCACAAGCATTTATTTATTTGGTTGTAGAACTCACCGAAACTTGGAGACTTCTTTCTATAACACATTCATACACATATACATACATACATGCATAGGAAATTAGTTGCATGTGAGCAACAACATAGTTTACGCACTGTTTTTATTTTCTATATATGTATGTATAGTACATACTTACATACTTTGGTCTCAATATTAATTTTATGATATGAGTATTATTTTTTCTAAACGATAACCGCGCTTATGAAACGACGACGAAATTCAAAACGAATCCGACAAAATTATTACAGTATAGTACAGCGAGTTACTTTTTTGCATATATAATCAATGGTAGCAGAAACATTTTCATCTGACTACTCTACGCATTGGCATTAAAAAAGTATATTTAGTTATTATGTGTATTTTTATATGTTTTAGATTTTAAGTAAATGCGAAAAGAGAATTTGTGCATTTCCTTATTATTTAAACTACATAATCGAAGTTGTACCTTCACCTTTTGGATTTATGTATTACTGTATCTAATATTTAATATTATTTTTGTTTCAAATTTGTTTTTTTTTTTTTTTAAATTTATGTATTCAAATTTTTCGTACAATTATGTATATTTTATTTAAAATGTAAAACCGTAATAAAACCATTGTTAGTAGACACAACTTAAAGTTACGTTCATTTTTTCGTTTAGTTTTACAAAATATTCAAATTTGCACATACTATATCTGTTTCATCACTACAACTATCGCTTAAGGACATCCCAAAAGATAATTTCTAGAGCTAAAGGCCTTCTCTCGTTTTCCAATATCGATGCTATACATATCCTGGGTATATCACTGACTTTTTGAACACGCCCGTATGTTGCAAAATGCTGTGCGACATTTTCATATTTTTTTTTCTGGGGAATTGATGAAACCAAGTTTTTCTGAAAGTCTGGATTATATGTAGTATATAGAAAAGTTCCAGTTCAGTTTTCCCTTATTTGTATAGCATTTGAAACAATTAAAAGTAATTTAAATGCAAATATTTATACCATCAAAAGGCCTTTCCAGGGGTTTTGGAGTCCGAGGAATCTGAATTTGTAATTTATTTTTGCCAAAAAAGGTCGTTGGGTGCGCTGTGATGCAAAAAAACATGAAGGAAAAGTGTCAGCAATGTTTCTCTACAATATTTCTCAACAAAGTTTCTAAACAATGTTTCCTCTTGTTTTTTTTTTGCACCAAAGTGCACCCAGCGGTCATTTTTGATAAAGGTAAATTGCAGATACATATTTCTCGTACCCAAAAACCACCAGAAAGACCTTTTGATGGTATAAATATTTGCATTTAAATAAATTTAAATTGTTTTAAAAGCTGCTCTGCGACCACCAACTTCAATAAAAAAACGCTTAAAATCGCCAACCTGGGCTTCCAGAATTTCAGAAAAACTTGGTTTACTCAATTCCCCAGCCAACTGCCGAATAATGTAATTTTATGTAGTGAAATCATATAAATTCCCTCCATAAACGACAGGCCTTAGCTGAATAAGAAAAGCGTCATTTCAGCGGAGTTAAATTGCTTTTGTATCATTTCTGATATCAGAGTATCCAGTCAATCCGGTGTGATGAAAGATTTTTAAGTTAGATTAGAGTGGCTGCCAGTGATAATATCGGTGCGAAATCTTCACTGTTGTAAAAATCGTTATTGGGAATATTTTAGCATATCTTCCTATACTGTAATTAATTCTTAATTTTCGTTTTCAGAGTGTTCTAGGTTAACTAGTCTTAGTTTCTTTTGTTTTTATTATAAACACTCCTCTTGTAAATGTGCTTTTTTTTGCCAAACTCACTTACGTAAAACAATTTCGTTCCGGTACAATAAGTCTGATTATTGTCACCAAGTGGTTGTTTCCAAAAGTAAAACTGCCTACAAAAGGTGAGCATATTCCCGTAGTTCTTAACTCAATTTCAAAAGAACTTCACTGATTAAATAGTCGCCGTTTTAGCAGCTATAGAGAGTTTTAAAAAATATAAATTTTAATATTTTCTAAAACACATTCGGGTTTTCCTCAT